ATATAAATATTTATTTATTTATATATTTTTATCCCGCCCTCCCCGCGAACGGGCTCAGAGCGGCTCACAGACAAGGGCACCGTGTGCCAAGTATAAAACACATTAAAACACATAAAAACAACCCTTTTACCAATTTTATTCTCCTCTGAGGGGCAGCTGCCACAGAAAAAAGAGTGGAGGGTGTTCTAGATCAGGGGTCCCCGACCTTTTCAAGCCAGTGGGCAGATTTGGAATTCTGACGCCGGTTGGCATGTGCAGCCACAAAATGGCTGCCGTGGAAGGTGGAGCCGACAACAAAATGGCTGCCACGGGAAGGCAGAGCCAACAGCAAAATGGCTGCCACGGGAAGGAGAGCCAACCACAAAATGCCTGCTGTGGGAAGTGGAGCCACACACATATGCAAACGGGATGGTGAGAGGGTTGGAATCCAAGTCTTACGAGGAAAGGCTGAAAGAGTTGGGTATGTTTAGCCTGGGAAAGAGAAGGCTTAGAGGGGACATGATGGCAGTCTGAAATATTTGAAGGGCTGTCAAGTAGAAGATGACGCAGATCTATTCTCTCTTGCTCCGGATTGCAAGACTAGATCGAATGGGTGGAAATTACAAGGGAGTCGTTACTGGCTAAAGATCAGGAGAAACGTCCTAACTGTAATAAGAGTGGTTGAACAGTGGAACAGTCTGCCTCGGGAGGTGGTGGATGCTCCCTCGCTGGACATTTTCAAGCGGAGGCTGGACGACTATATTTCGCGTATGTTGTAGGCATGTAGGGCTATCTTTCGGCTATGCTCCTGCAGAGTGCAGGGGGTTGGACTAGATGACCTGCAAGGTCCCTTCCAACTCTAACATTCTATGATTCTGTGATATGCGCACACAGAAAAAGGGCAAGCGCTGAGACAAGAGAAGTAATTTCAAAAAATACCCTGAGAAAGTGGAGATAAAAAAGCCCCAGCACTGTAATGGCAGCCACCGGTGAAACAATGTAATTCTAATCAGCAGAGAGCCAATCAGGTCTCCCATGGCCAATCAGAAGCCCTGTTGGGCAGGACCACCACCTGGCCCCACCCACTCGGAAATGTATCGTGGGCACCTTGGCGCCCACAAGGGCAAGGTTGGGGACTCCTGTTTTAGGTCATGGAGGGCAACCTTAAGGCTTAACAAGCCTCCCACATGAATCTCCTGGTGGTCCCTGGCCCGAAAGACGTTTGTCTTGCCTCAACCAGAGCCAGGGCTTTCTCTGCCCCAGGTCCTGACTGGTGGAACATGCTCATAAGAGAAGAAGAAAAAGGTGAGAAAGGGATGCTAACAAATAAATATACAATTTATAAATCAGTGTGACAAATGCAAGCAAATACAATACATAACATGAAAAGATACTTAATAAATACATACCAACAGAACAACTCATATATCAAATAGTAACAAGTAGAAGAAACATCGTGTTGTGTAAGAATTCAAATTGAGTCCAGTCTATACTTTCATTACGGGGAAAACCTTGAATAAGTTGAGGCACATTAGCCAAAATCCTATCTCTTTCTCGATCAGAAAAAAACGAAATGATTTTATTTGCTAGCGGCCTTTTCTCAGCTTTTTTCCTTCTATTATTGGCTTCAGCTGGGAAGTCTCCTTGTATTCATTCTGATACTTGACTATGACGCAACCAATTCATCATTTTGTATTTGCTTGTATTTGTACTGCTATTGTATTTATTGTATCGCTATTGTGTTGTTACCCGCTCTGAGCCCGCTTGCGGGAAAGGCGAGCTATACGTGTGGAAAAATAAAATAAAAATAAAATCGAGTGTGCATCTTAGAACCTGCTCAGAATCTCCTGCGAGACCTTGGGGTTTCTCGGCGGATGACTTGATGTGGGACTGGTTCCATGGAAGCGGAGAGGCTACGACCACTTATTGTATCCGAAAAAACGGGGGGAGGGAAATCCCCATAATGATAGTGGGATCTAGACGATGCTGCAAAGGGAATAGGACAGAGCATCCACAAACCAGGATGTAACTCCAGTGAGGAACTACTGGAGTGTCATGTGCTATGTTCCCTCTAAGCTGTGGAGTCTTGTGAGCAAAAATTCCACTTTGTGAGCTCCTGGCATTAAAGTTGTGAGCGAGTGATTTGGCTACTGCATAAATTAGTTAGCTCTGGAGCCATCCTTCCTGAGCTAAGATAAGAATGTGCGAGCCAGAGGCTAAAAAACTGTGAGATAGCTCACAGTAACTCAGCTTAGAGGGAACATTGGTCATGTGTGTTTGTGGGGAGGCGCCCGGCTTACCTGGAACGAACCCAGCACGAGTTCAAAGACCAGTCTCACTTCCCGTATCTCCTTCTTGGTGGTGTCGGGGAAGAAGGCAAAGATGATGTAATGGATGCCAAAGAGAGGGATCAGGAGCAGGGTGGATTTGGCCAGTCTCCTGTGATGAACAAGCAGAAATACAGAGGACGGTTACACAGGGTGGCGAGAACGCAAAAAGACAGCATGTAGGCAATGCTCCCTCTAAGCTGTGGAGTCTTGTGAGCAAAAATTCTACTTTGTGGGCTACTGGCATTAAAGTTGTGAGCGATTTGGCTACTGCATAAATGAGTTTGCTCTGGAGTCCTTCTTTCAGAGTGAAGACAAAAATGTGTGAGCTGGAGGCTGAAAAACTGTGAGCTGGCTCACGCTAACTCAGCTTAGAGGGAACACTGCATGTAGGAATACTGGCCATAGAACAGATGCAGAGTGACATAACTTCTTCTTCAGCTGTACATTGGACCACAGGGATCACATGTTTTAATTTTATTTATTATAGAAGAAGAAGAAGAGAAGAGATAGGATTTTTACCCTGCCCTTCACTCAGAGTCTCAGAGCGGCTTACAAACTGCTTTCCCTTCCCCTCCCCACAACAGACACCCTGTGAGGTAGGTGGGGCTGAGAGAACTCTTGACAGAAACTGCTATTTTTCACGGACAGCTCTGATAGAACTATGGCTTGCCCAAGGTCATCCAGCAGGTGCGAGTGGAGGAGTGGGGAATCAAACCTGGTTCTCCCCGATGAGAGTCCGCGCACTTAACCACTGCACCAAACTGGCTTTATTAGATTTATATACCACCCTCCCCAAACGGTGAATCTCCCCACGACACCCTCTGAGTCTTCTTTACATGTAGACCAGCTATATCTGAAGAAGTGAGCGGTGACTCACAAAAAGCTCATCACCTGCCACGGATTTTGTTAGTTTTGAAGGTGCTCCTCGACTCTTGCTCTTTTCTGCTGCTGCAAACAGACTAATACGGCTACCGATCTTGATGGAGACCAGCAGTTATTATCCCCAGAGTGCAGCTACGGGCAAGAGTCTATTATCATCACCACCCGTGTTGCAATTCTTAGCCATACATGAAATGTTAAATGTTTACTATTGTATATTTGGAAAAGTTATAAATAAAAAGTAAAAAAAACCATACAAACCCTGGGTTAGCACTCAATGAAATTGCTGAGATTTTGGATTAGAACTGATAAAAGGAAGTCCTTCTTCACTCAAAGAGTGAAGAACACATGGAACTCACTGCCACAGGAGGTGGTGGCAGCTCCAAGCTTGGGTGGCTTCAAGAGAGAATTGGAGAAACATATGGAGCAGAGGTCCATCAGTGGCTATTAGCCACAAGGTATAGATAGGGACTCTCGGTCTGGGGCAAGGGATGCTCTGTATTCTTGGTGCTTGGGGGGGGGCAACAGTGGGGGGGCTTCTAGTGTACTGGCCCCACTGCTGGACCTCCTGATGGCCCCTGGTATTTTTGGCCACTGTGTGACAGAGTGTTGGACTGGATGGGCCATTGGCTTGACCCAACATTGGCTTCTC